AAACAATCCTATTTTTACTGGCTCATATTTATGAATTCACAATTGTATGAATCGTTAGATCGATTGTGATCAACGTGGATTTCTTAATACGCTCTCGTTTGATATAAACGTATGTTAATGAATACTGTAAGTGACATTTTAGAGGGTCCTGAAGGGGTAAAATGGGAACTGGGATTTGCTTATTTTTGGGTGGGAAAATGGGATTTCATGCACTGGGACTGGGATTCATCAGCGAAAACACAATAGAAAATGGGAATGGGAATATTTTAGCAGGACAGCCACTGAGATGATAGGATTTGTGCTCTGGGACAATGGGATTTACATGGGCGTACGGGAAGGAAAAAATTAGGGGGGGGGGGGAATTTGCCCCACTTTTTCGGATTGTGCCCACATTGTTGCCCGACTGTGAAGTGAATATTGCTGGACTGGCTTTGTTTGTCCAACAAACTGGGGGGGGGCTGCGCCCCGCCCGGTACGCCCATGGGGATTTAGTCAAAATTTGGGCTAGTTAATGGGAATACAACCCCCCCTTCAGGACCCTCATTTTAGTTACAAGCCTGGAGATGGCTGTCAAAATTCAGCAGAGTTTATGTGTCAGAATGAAATGACATGTGAAAACACTTAGCAAGATTGAGGCATTAAATGCGATATTATTTGTATTTCAGCTGTTGGTACTTGTTACGGAATGGCTATGTAAAGCTATATATAGATTGTGTTAAACGTGGTTAAAAATATTTTGACTTTGTTGTTTCTGATGACATTTGCCGACTCTCAACTTTTCAGTTACTCTCGATCAACTCTCGACTTTTTACTCTCGATCGACTCTCGACTTTTTACTCTCGACCTTTTACTCTCGACCTTTACTCTTGACTCTCGACCCTCGACTTTTAGATACACTCAACGAGCCCTCCCAATAAGCCCATTCTCAAACATGTGCATGAAACAAAAATGTCCCCAGTATGTTATGTAGTATTTAAAACATTAGCAGCAGTGTTTTATCAGATATAAAGATACGAGGCAAAGCCGAGTATCTTTAGGTCTGATAAAACACACACTGCAAATGTTTTAAATTGCTTCAAAAACGATCGATCTAGTAAGTTCACTGGCAAAGTAATTTTCAAAAATCTTTATTTTAAAGTTTATGTAAATAAAGGGAAATCTCTATCACATATAATGACATGCTTATGATTTTTCTTTGTATTTTCCTGATGAATTATTAATGAGTTTGTGAATATTATTTTGATGATGGTAATTTTATTCTTACTAGGGTGGACTGCCCTGGGCAAGAGGGGCAGCAGCTGTCATCAACTTTAATTGCTTTTTAATCCTTCTTCCTGTCTGCAGAAATATGTTGTCTTTTTTCCGAGGTCTTGATGTAAGTTTAGTGATTAGCAGGCTTCACTAGTTTGCAACAGGCGATATGATTAACCTGCAATTATCACCGTGAGAAAATTAATTATATCTGAAGATGAGAAGTAAGATGAAAAATAGACACTTGAAAAGTTAATTAGCAACAAACTAATAGCTTCCAATTTCCAGACAAAGTGTCCAGACCTGCCAACCCTTGAGTAGCAGAAATAGTGAGTTGCTATCTAAAAAATTGTGAGATTGACTGAAAAATCATGAGAAATTTTCAGGTTTGCTCAATATGACCACGGCTAACTTTAACAACACTAGAAAATAATCAATAGATATTCAATTTTATGTCATAGTATGCATTTATATTTTGTTAATATAACTGTAAATGCAAGGCTTATTAAAAATAGACTGTTTTTTCTTTATGGCTTTAGTAGTTTCCATTGTACAAAAACAAGAAAACTACGAGTAATATTAGGACTAGCAGGACAATTAAGTTAGCAGGACACGCCTTTTACATTGTAACACAAACATCACACATACAAATTTCTGGCATTGTACATTGCACATTATGAATACACTAATAAAGTGTGATGTTTCCTTGGAAGAGTGTGCCTTATTGTAACTAGATGTTGCGCACCCAGCACCCTGCCAACAAAAATGTAGACGCGACAGGGGCACTATTAATTTATTAAACGGTACCCCTTCGGAACTTAATTGTGAGATTGTGAGAAAGCATAAAAAATGGTGAGTCTCACAATTAAATCGTGAGACTTGGCAGGTCTGAACTGTCTCTGCTTCAAAGTGTCTGTGTTCATTATGCAAATTACTTCTGAAGTTGACGACATGCCCAGTAACTAAAAACCACCAATAACATTGTATATTCAACTTAGTACTTCAAATTTTTCATTCCTTCAGTGTTGTGGTATGGGTCAAAATATTCAACGTCTACTGGATAAAAATATAAAATTCCATCGATTCATTGCATATGTTATATGTCTATTCACAGGTTAGTTTTTATTTTTTATTATATTTGAAAAGACAGAGCCGAATTTTACTAAATGTATTTGTTAGATTCCAGGCTGTCATGTAAGTCTTTCCAAGGGTGTAATTCTTCAATTTTATTTTTTTCTAGTTATTCATATAAGTGCACATGTTTTCAATTTTGAGAACTTAGTTCGAGCGTATGATGGCTCATCCTTGCAACACAGTTTAAGCATTATGGACGATATTGGCAACAAGACATATATCAATCCTGTTCGAAATCAAAATTCTGTAAGTACAATAATAGACCAGAATGCCTTATTACAGTAAAGTAAATATTACAGTGGAACTTCCATGCTTCTCTCATCTCTGAGCTACTCTTGCTAAACAAGGGACAGCAAACTCCATACCCATCATATGAAAATTCTTCATCTAAAATGTCCCAGCCATTTTATCCAATTTTATTCCCAGTGCTGCAGCTGTGTTTCCTAAATGCATTCTGAGTATTCAGCTTCTCCACTGTTCATTTTTTCCTTTGATTTTAGGATACACCAACAGAAGTTTTTCGTACGGGTTGGTAACATGATAGATCATTGGAAATATAATAATGCTACATTCTTAGCTAAATTCTTCTTTCGTTATCATTTTTCTCTCTCTAGTGGCTGGGGTTTCTGGATTCCTTATTACTATTGCTTTGATTTTAATGGTAAGCCTTTTCATTAATTCTGACACAACAACAGAACAGAAAACGTGGGTTCTCTTAGACTGAGTAACTGGTGTTCCGATTTTTTTAATAATAAAGGTGACATCGTCAACAGAACTTTTAAGGTAAATGAAGATATCATCTCAACTTTTTTTTGGGAACATGACTGATTTTTTTTCAAATGTCTACAACTGTTGTATTTTTAGACGTTCTTATTTTGAAGTGTTTTGGTACACACATCATCTGTTTAGTGTTTTCTTTGTCGGCCTGATTGTTCATGGCATGCAGTAAGTTAAAGATTTCAGTTTATAAAATGATAACATTTGTCAGCAATATTCTTGCAGTACTTAATTAGTCTTATCAAGTTATGTACAAAACAATTCTTGAAATGTTTAGGGGTTTATTACGGAGACAAACTAACACAAATGAACATGATCCTGAATTCTGTAAAGGAATGATTAAAGACAAATGTCCTGTTCCAAATTTTGAATCATCAGGACCGCAGGTATGATTATTTGATCTGGTGACTCACTGGAGGATAGAGTGGATCGATATCGCAAGTACCGAATACCGATATACCGCCATCAGAATACCGGTATTTTTAACGTGTTTTTTTTTAAGCCAAACTGAACTGCTGACCATCGAGAAAAATCAAGTTTTGACAAAATATTAATGTGGCACATACTGTTATTAGTGCAAATGTCACAAGATTCGCATTATCAAGCTATGTTAACGGCGCTAAGCAGCAATTATTAGTAGGCCGTCGATTGGGCGTCGAAGTGTTGAATCTGTGAGCATTAACTTTGCTTTCTAAACGTGATTGCAAGCAAGTTTGACTTGAAATAGCATTTCAATTCGGTATTAGGCAGCAAAATACCGAAATGTCGGTATATCGGTATTTTTAAATTGTCAATATCACCAAACCGGTATCTAAACAAATACCGGTCTACCGGATATATCCGGTATATCGATCCACTCTAGTGGAGGACTCATTGTGTTGCTGTTTCTCAGTAAGCGTTATGCTGTAACAAATGCTGGCCACTTATAGGAACAAAAAGATTAAACTCTCAGTTCTATTCATTTACCACCAAATACACATTATGAAAAAATGAAACATTATTTTCTTACGTTTTAGACTTGGAAATGGATAGTTCTACCATTATCCTTGTACTTCATCGAAAGGTGCATTCGTTTTGTAAGATCTCTACAAAATGTCACAATTACAAAGGTAACTTTTTTTATTGGAACTTACGGGTAAATACAGCTTCGAGGAATATGTTACATATACATGTATTTCATTGTTTTCAAAAGGTTATTAATCATCCATCCAATGTAATAGAAATTGAAATGAAGAAACCTGGCTTCTCTTATTGTGCTGGTCAGGTAAGAACTTACAATTGTTCAAACAAGTCGTTTCAATAGCTGCATCATGTTTTCATGCAGTGATAATAAACATGTTAACCACGTATGCTTGTGTCAATTGCTGTCTTTTTGGTCTCTTTATTTCCTAGTATGTGTTCCTACAATGTCCGAAAATATCCAAATTGGAATGGCATCCTTTCACTCTGACTTCGGTGAGAACCTTTGAGGAAATGGAATATTGATGAAGGACATGACATGACATGACATGACTATGTTACATTTAATAGTTTTGTTTGTGGAAACACCACGTAAATTTATTACTGCAGTAATAAATTTACGTGGTGTTTCCACAAACAAAACTGTTATATTTTATCACCATGCAAACATACAAAGAACTTATGTAACATTTGTTTTAGAGTCCAGAAGAAGAGACATTTAGTGTTCACATTCGCACAGTTGGAGACTGGACAAGTTTGTAATAACATTCCTGTTTTGGTTGTTGTTGCTGTTGTATGTTGTATGTTGTCGTTATCGTCGTCGTCGTCGTTGTCATCGTCGTCGTTGTTGTTGTCGTTGTTGTTGTTGTTGTTGTTGTTGTTGTTGTTGTTGTTGCTGTTGTTGTTGCTGTTGTTGCTGTTGTTGTTGCTGTTGTTGTTGTTGTTGGTTTCTGCGCCTAGATGCGCTAATAGTTGATATCCAATCATTTTCCTAACAGCTGCACTTTCAAAAGCTTGTACTGGTGATGGAATGGAAGTGAGAGATCTGAACGAGATACCAAGGTTTGTCATGTGGTGTTAGCCATGTGCCGTTTTCTTAGAGTGCCTTTATCACACATTAATAGTATATTTTGATCTGCTCGAATGATCATTTATATTATTGAATCTCTCGTTTAAATTTTATTGACATTGTTTTATAGTATCTCTGTTGACGGACCGTTCGGGACATCTAGCTCTGTAAGTAAATCTGGCGGACGTATGTACTCACACATGCATGCATTTAATTTAAATTTGTAACGACTTTTCTCCCGTAGGATTATTTCAAATATTCTACATGTGTGTTTATTGGAGCTGGAATTGGCGTCACTCCATTCGCGTCTATTTTAAAATCAATATGGTAAGGATTAATTCATACCTTAATTCATGGCGCAAATGTATATACATGTACTGTACAGACTACAGTAGATGATCCGGCATTTGGACGATTGTGAGCAAAGGAAAGATAGTTTGTCTGGTAATCTGCAGTTGTAGTTTGCCTCATTTTTTTAAGGAATCGTCATGAACATTCTTGTGCGTCGCTTCAAATTAAGAAAGTTTATTTCTACTGGATTTGTCCGGATACCAACGCATTTGAATGGTTTGCACAATTACTAGAGAGTCTTGAAACACAGGTACAAGTGAAGAAATTACTGTAGATGGTCTGTGTCTGAACTAGCTCTAAGATTAATCAAGTAGAAAAATACAAGGAGAACTTCGATGTTTTGAGTGAACGCCCTGTGGCTACTAACTACCCGACGAAGGGCCTGGGCTTGAAACGTTAAAGTTCTCCTTGTAGTTTTCAGGAAGTTGTATCCCCATCAATCCCTGACTTTCTTATGATTGCCACTACATACACTGGGACAGAATGTTGAAGATTTAATCAAGTAGAATGCTAGCTCATGCATCATATTGAATTGATTTTCAGATGGCTGAAAAAGGGAATCGCGGTTTTTTACAATACAACATTTTCCTAACTCGTGGCTGGAGTAAAGAAGAGGTATGATTCACGTGATCAACATATCACTAAACTGCAAACTGAAATTTATCATTTAGGTATGAGTCACGTGATCAACATATCACAAAACTGCAAACTGAAATGTATCATTTAGGTATGAGTCACGTGATCAACATATTACAAAACTGAAACTGAAATGTATCATTTAGGCACGAAATATAATGGTCCGTGACGAAACACAAAATGTCGATGTAATCACAGGTTTAAAACAGAAAACTCACTTTGGTCGACCAGAATGGACAAACATCTTTAAAAATATTGCGAATGATAATCCCAGGTTAGATTGTTTGTTTGTTTGCTTGCCGAAGTTTTCAATTTCAGGCTTGGTCTTTTCAGGCTCGGTGGGCTTGGTGTTTTCAGGCTCGATATTCTCAGGCTCGATATTCTCAGGCTCGATATTTTCAGGCTCGATATTCTCAGGCTCGATATTCTCAGGCTTGATATTCTCAGGCTCGATATTTTCAGGCTCGATATTCTCAGACTCGATCTTCTCAGGCTCGATGTTTTCAGGCTCGATGTTTTCAGGCTCGATATTTTCAGGCTTGGTCTTTTCAGGCTCGGTGGGCTTGGTGTTTTCAGGCTCGATATTCTCAGGCTCGATATTCTCAGGCTCGATATTTTCAGGCTTAGATTCCAGTCATTCCACTGTCAAATGTGGACCTGTTATTGAAACTCATGCTCACAGGAATTTTTTCTTGTTCTTTGTAGTGCTGATGTTGGTGTATTTTTCTGTGGTCCTCCAACACTATCCCACACGCTGCATACTCTGTGTGATCAATATAGTACATTACAGGAAGGAGTGAAGTTCTATTATAATAAGGAAAATTTCTGAATCTGCCATATAATGAACATTTTTATTGTGGCAAATCGCGCTGAGTATTGCTGGCTTTCAGTAAGTGTTACGAGCCAGCTGATGCCGCTCAACTTGAGAAATGTTCACACGTATAGGAGAAAGAAAATTACAAAATACTTTTGCCACTGGCAGACAGTGCCATACACCTCTCTACGTGATGCAGGAAGACAAGTCCGTCGCCAAAGATCGAATCGTAGTATGCTGACTCATAGTATAATTATATATATAACTGGATACATACTGTAAGTTCCTTATTTCGAGAGAGACTTCCTTGCATTTATAATTGCGTCGTTACAAAAAGTCTCGCAGCTAAAAATCTTTGTTTAGTTGTTTCAAGTTTTGAATTTCAAGCCACCAGACGGAGTAGTTTGGTTTTGTCGTCATAGCTATGTCAGCACCCCGCTATGCAATTCAATACACCCTGATACACCCTACGGCAATTACGTCACAAACCTCACACGCACAACAGTCAGCATATATAGAGCTCAAAGCAGATTGAATATGAAAATTCAAATCCATATCAACCGCATGAGATATTACAACATCTGATGGCTCAGTGTTGCAACTCTATTTCAGAGCCATCATCAGATTGATCAGAGGAATATATATGTGTCATGTTCCCATACAAACAGTATCACATCATCAATAGAATATAATACCGTGATTTCTAATTTTCTATATGGCCAAAAAGAAAATATAATGAAAAGTGAAAGCTGTCATGATGACTAAACATAAATTTGAACTTTGATATTGATTGATATTCTGACAAATGATGAGTAGACAAATTCCTTGTTTGAACTTGCTTATTTGGTTTAAATAAAATTACATGCACAAATAAAGGGCAAGACTTCTATATTTTTCCTGTTACTGACAAAAAATCTTTGAATTTTAGTCGCCATGACGCAAAATAAAGCATTTTCGTCCACGCAATATAAGCTGACACGGAAATGACACAACATAGCAACCATTTGGCTGATTATGCTAAATTTGCTGAAAATGAGCTCATGGTAGTGAAGTGGTAAGAATCTAGACTTTGATCAGATCGTATCGTCGGCCTGTCTCCATTAAAAACAGTATATTTATAAGAAAGCCGGTACAAAACGTTACATTTACTCAAATATGACTAATGAAATGCTTATTTTTATAAATTGGTAAAAATATTGACGATTTGAAGTTTTTTTGGAATGGATTTTAGGATTATTTTAATTTAAGATGTGTATTTCTCCTGACTAGTTTTAATTAATTTATGAGTCATCAATGCACGTGACAATTTTGGCCAATCAGAGGCGCGTACGGGGAAGGCATAAAAGCAACAACGCAGTTTTGGCGTCCATTATTGTGCGATATTTCGTTTACTGAGAAAGAAAAGTTTTATCTCACTGATTTTTTCACAATTTCGTCATGCAAATCTTTGTGAAAACTCTCACTGGCAAGACCATCACCTTGGAAGTAGAACCAAGCGATACAATTGAAAACGTAAAGACGAAAATTCAAGATAAAGAAGGCATCCCGCCCGACCAACAACGTCTGATTTTTGCCGGCAAACAACTCGAAGACGGCCGAACCCTTTCTGACTACAATATCCAGAAAGAATCAACACTTCATCTTGTCCTTCGACTCCGAGGTGGAATGCAGATTTTCGTGAAAACCCTGACTGGCAAAACCATCACGCTCGAAGTCGAACCAAGCGACACAATCGAGAATGTGAAAACGAAAATTCAAGACAAGGAAGGCATCCCTCCCGACCAACAACGATTGATCTTCGCTGGTAAACAACTCGAAGATGGCCGAACCCTGTCCGACTACAATATCCAAAAGGAATCTACCCTTCATCTTGTGCTTCGACTCCGAGGTGGAATGCAGATCTTCGTCAAAACTTTGACCGGCAAAACAATCACCCTAGAAGTCGAACCCAGTGACACAATCGAGAACGTGAAAACGAAAATTCAAGACAAGGAAGGCATCCCTCCAGACCAACAACGTTTGATCTTCGCCGGCAAACAGCTCGAAGATGGCCGAACCCTTTCGGATTACAATATCCAGAAAGAATCCACCCTTCATCTTGTCCTTCGACTTCGTGGTGGTATGCAGATCTTTGTGAAAACCCTGACTGGTAAAACCATCACCCTCGAAGTTGAACCCAGCGACACGATCGAGAATGTCAAGACCAAAATTCAAGACAAGGAAGGCATCCCTCCAGACCAACAACGTTTGATCTTCGCCGGCAAACAGCTCGAAGATGGCCGAACCCTTTCGGATTACAATATCCAGAAAGAATCCACCCTTCATCTTGTTCTTCGACTTCGTGGTGGTATGCAGATCTTTGTGAAAACCCTGACCGGTAAAACCATCACCCTCGAAGTTGAACCCAGCGACACGATTGAGAATGTCAAGACCAAAATTCAGGACAAGGAAGGCATCCCTCCAGACCAACAACGTCTGATCTTCGCAGGAAAGCAGTTGGAAGATGGCCGAACCCTTTCTGATTACAACATTCAGAAAGAATCCACCCTTCATCTTGTCCTTAGACTTCGTGGTGGTATGCAGATCTTCGTGAAAACCCTGACCGGTAAAACCATCACCCTCGAAGTTGAACCCAGCGACACGATTGAGAACGTAAAAACCAAAATTCAAGACAAGGAAGGCATCCCTCCAGACCAACAACGTTTGATCTTCGCCGGCAAACAGCTCGAAGATGGCCGAACCCTTTCGGATTACAATATCCAGAAAGAATCCACCCTTCATCTTGTCCTTCGACTCCGAGGTGGTATGCAGATCTTCGTGAAAACTCTGACCGGTAAAACCATCACCCTCGAAGTTGAACCCAGCGACACGATTGAGAATGTGAAGACCAAAATTCAAGACAAGGAAGGCATCCCTCCAGACCAACAACGATTGATCTTCGCTGGTAAACAACTCGAAGATGGCCGAACCCTTTCTGATTACAATATCCAGAAAGAATCCACCCTTCATCTTGTCCTTCGACTTCGTGGTGGAAACTAAATAACTTTGTTACTGAACATTTATCGAAAAACAATTAAGCATTTTGGAAAATATAACTGTTCATAGGGTTGCAACTTGCACTGTAAAAATAGTTTAAAAAAAAAACATAAATAAAGTATTCGAATTGGTTGTCAAACTTTTCTCTGCATCAAAAAACTTGTTGTATTTGCTTCATCATCATTGAAGTTTGCCCTAGTAAAATACAATGCAAAAAAAAACAAGATAAAATTGTCTTGCATTGTGTTATACAATGGCAAATGTAATTTTGAAATCAGTTCTAAAATTGTGGATAAAATGTACCACACTAGCCTTAGGGAAAACATGAATTGAAACAAATTTGGTTGACCTTGGACAATTATGTCTGGCAAAATTTGGTATTTTCTTGATAAATAGTTCGTTTGAAAAAATGTTTCACACAATAGTCTATTTAAATAATAATTGTGTCTGCTTGCAGGTGTTCTGTATTATTACAGTGATCATTAAGGGTCTATTTTGATCAGGAGTATTGTCTTACTGAGATTTATGAAAAGAAATATTTCACACAATAGTTCATTTAAATTATAATTAGGTCTGCTTGCAGGTGTTCTGTATTATTACATTGATCATTAAGGATCTACTCTGAGCAGGAGTATTGTCTTCCTGAGATTTAAGCAAAGCAGCGCTGCTCTTTCCCTTAACGAGTAAAACTGTCTGGCATTAGGTGGAGAAAATGACCAAAGTAGGGGCATGTTAGGGTGCAAGTGCTGCAAAAATGTCATGGGCAAATAGTCTGACTATTGACAACCCACTAAAATAGCAAACTTCCCTATTGGCAAGTAAAATTATCTGGGTTTAGACAGATTAAGTAGAACAAATAAAAGGTTAAAGAAAATGAATGCCATTCATTGCTGGTCAAATTACATTCATAAAAAAATCAAACATTGGGTTATGAATGTAATTATTGTAATATGACCAGAAGAGGTTTGCATTCGTTCACTTTTGAAAGAAATTGAACACACAAGTAACATGAGTTTGTATTTTTAATGATTGACATTTGACAACAATGTTTTAAGTTAACTATCCCCTTGTTCCATTTTCTCTTCATTTGTGTCATCTTCTTGAATATCCTCGGGTATTTTTGCTACGATCTCAATCAGTTTCTCCAATTCTTCGTCAGTTCGTAATCTCTCTTCGCTCTCCTCGATTATCAGCTGTATTTCAACAGGAGTGCTCGGTCTTAAATTTAACAATTGAAGTTTCTCGCCTTTGGTGAGGTTAAATGGAGCAACATCAAGAAGGAACTGTCTTATAACATCCTCATTTTGAAGTCTACAAGGTGTTTTTTCTAAGTATTTCATGACTTCGTACGAAATAGTAGCTAAGTTTTCTTGGCTTTGCTTTCGACTTTGTTTTTTGTTCGATTCTTCTTGCACTTTTTCTTGAAGTAGAGTGAAAACTTCGTAGTTGCTAAGCATTGCCGCTCTCTCGTTTAAAACCTCCATAGTATCACAGGGTCTTCTCTCAACAAATTCTACCCTTAAAACTTATTCAAGTTGGGTATAAAATTTTCAACACTTGGCATTCCATCTTGAATACTATAACACATTACTACACGAAGTAATAAAGGCTCTGAGAACCAATGGAAATTTCAGTGATGGAAATGTTGAAAATTCCTTTGTTTTCCCAATTCTCAAATTTTATATTTACTTCATTTATTCTCTTTTCTGTAACTTTGACTCGATAAAATGTTTATATCAACTTGCAAATGGGGAAATTTTGCCAAAAGCATTTCGAAACCTCGAGTTTCTTGAAATAATCTTGCCAGAAAATCTCTGAAAGTATCTGGAACTATACTGGCCTACCACCATTCCTGTGTTTAAGGATAAACTCCTGGAAGTCAGCCACATGTGAGACATTTTTCCAAGATGGCCGTCGCACCGGAGCGCTCGCTACGATCAGTTTTTGGTATGTGCAAGAAAAGCATATTTTATACGTTTTATATTGCGTTTTTATGTAATAGTTAGTAGTGGTGCTTTATAGTACAAGTATATGAGCTCACACCATTTGCAAGTTTTTAGCTTTTATGTGTTTATTATATTTTACAATAGCTATGATATTTTCTGTGTTGCTGTATGATGCTTGCGATGTTACTGTGAGTGTATGTCCATACCGGGCAAGACAAGCATATTTTTCAAGCTTGCCCGGTGTGGATATACACTCAGAGTAACATCACACAATCGTATTCACCTGAGTACATTACAATTTACAGCAACACAGAAAATATCGAATATTGGTATCGAAGGAACTAGATTCTGTTCTGAAATACCACATACTTGAACCGACCTGACCGTGTATCTCAGTTGGCAGAGCATTGGGCTAGTATTCCAAAGGTCATATAAAGTTCAATGGACCATTTGCATTGTAGACTAAATTTTGATCTAGACGAAAATTAGTAATATTCCAAAGTTTCGTTGCGAAATGTTGTAAAATGCGGATAATATAGCCTTGCGAAGTTTGCCATTTTTCAGTCATTTTGTATTACGCACGGGAAATTGACAGCCCAATCGGGTGTTGGGGCATCAATTTCCTGTTTGTAATACAAAATGACTGAAAATTGCAAATTTTGCAGGGCTATATTATCCGCATTTTATGATGAAACTTTGGAATATTACTAATTTTGTGATGCTCTTTCAAGCTGTGATGAAATTTTTGTCTAGATCAAAATTTAGTCTATAGTGCAAATGGTCCATTCCCACCTTGTACAGGCATATTTTTCAAGCTTGCTCGGTGTGGATATACACTCAGAGTAACATCACAAGCATCATACAGTAGCTATGTTTGGTAGAATATTTGACTGTCTATCCTGAACTGATCTATATTCTAATGTTGATTTTAGTTGGAAATATTCCATATGAAGCCTCAGAAGAACAACTCAAAGAAATATTTTCTGATGTCGGGCCAGTCGTCAGTTTCAGGTTCGAGTAATTCAAGATTATAATAATTGAAGATTTGAAGTCAGTGGCTGTTTGTACTGAAACAGTACGCTGAGTTTGATTTGCTATTCGTACTGCAGTCGGAATATTTAAGATAAACAGACCCCAAACCTTTCTCTAACCCTAACCAATAAATGCATAATAAACTATTTGAGAGCTTGCGAAAGTTTTTAAAATATTTTAAGAAAAGTTTCTCGAACAGAAAACCGACAGCTAAACTGATCCCGACCTCATTTTGTTTCACAAGCAACGCCTTTGCCGAATACTCTAGCGGCAAGCTTGCTGAAAAGCTGTTGCAAAAATTTTATATTACTAATTTACGAAAAGTATGAATTGGGTCATATAATAATTTATTATATAATAATTTATTGAATTCTGATTGTTTAATTGGCTGTTTATGGTCACATGATATTGAATAGAAAATTCCATTTCCCAAGAGCTGAAAAATGGAATTTCCATTGCACTCTCTGCGAGTGCAATGGAATAAAACGTACAGTACAATTGCACTCTTTGTGTTTTCGATAAATCGCATTCCTCAAAATGCTTCTCATACGAATCTATTAGTCTATTTTGGTATTATATAAAACAAATAATGAATTTTTTTGTGCAATGGTAAGAATATTTTCATTCAGTGAAAGATGGGATGTTCCATTCAACTTGGCTGTCGCCTCATTGAATGGAACATTCAATCTTTCACCTCATGAAAATATTCTTACCATTGCACTCATAAACATTCATTATTTGTATATTGTTGGCCATTATTCCTAAATGACAAATTAGGGGCAAATAAATTTTTAAAAAATATACACTGTCCATTAGATGAAATTATGCTTTGCCATGGCTTTAAATCAACATGTGTGGTGGTCATCTTTCAGTTATCAGAATAATGATTTTCTTGTCGTGCAATTCAACTGCAACTATGTATAAATGTCAACATTTATAAATTGTTTTTTAGTTTATCCAGATTGTTTTACAATTAATTGATGGTTTTATTTATCTAGACAAAATAGAACAATCTGGATGAACTCAAAAACAATTAAGAGAATATACCCAGATACAAACCATTTCAACATTTCTGAAATTGACCACCATTGCCTGTGCTGCTTACTCAAACCTAGTTCTATTTTAAGATTGGTGTTTGATCGAGACACAGGTAAACCAAAAGGTTATGGTTTTTGTGAATACAAGGATCAGGAGACTGCTGTTAGTGCCATGCGGAATTTAAATAATTATGAACTCAATGGACGGACATTGCGAGTGGACAGTGCTGCAAGTGAGAAGAATAAAGAAGAAGGTATTAAGAGATTTTATAATCCAAAATAGTGTCCAAACATGATCACTGAATTTTCTCTCCCTTAAATTATTATGAACATTCTTGTTCCATATTGTGGTGCTTTACAGATTTCTTCTTTATAATTGCATATGTCACACTAGCTTTATTGTCTATTTTTAGAAATGATAGCAGCGGCCCCACCAGAGACCAACCCCTATGGATCTACAGTTCCTCCCAGTGAGGCACCTTCAGCCATCACCCAGGCAGTCGCCAGCTTACCTCCTGAACAGATGTTTGAACTCATGAAACAAATGAAAGTATGTAGTTCACTTTGTTTGACAAGTATTTTAAATTGCACAGGGGTCTTAGAGGTCCAGCAGAGTAATCACTTATTGATCCAGTGTTACTACAGGAGGAAACCTAAATTAAACTAACTTTATTTATGCTGGATAGCTCTATCAGTTCTAAACTGTTCTCCCTAGAGGTCCAGTAAGCATCATCTCTTATTGACCCAGTGTTACTACAGGAGGAAACCTAAACTAAACTAACTTTATTTATACTCGATAGCTCTATCAGTTCTAAATTGTTCTTCCTAGAGGTCCAGTAAAGATCATCTCTTATTGATCCAGTGTTACTACAGAAGGAAACATAAACTAAACTAAACTTTATTTATACTGGATAGCTCTATCAGTTCTAAACTGTTCTCCCTAGAGGTCCAGTAAGGATCATCTCTTATTGATCCAGTGTTACTACAGGAGGAAACCTAAACTAAACTAACTTTATTTATACTGGATAGCTCTATCAATTCTAAACTGTTCTTTAGAGGTCCAGTGAGAATCATCATTATATACTTGTCTCTTTTTCAGCTTTGTATTCAAAATAATCCAGAGGAAGCAAGACAAATGTTGCTTCAAAATCCTCAACTCTCTTACGCCTTGCTTCAAGCACAAGTTGTAATGAAAATTGTCAATCCTGAAATTGCACAGGTATGAATGGCAGAAATATTTATTGTCTACAACCTCTCTCCTCTTCAGAGTCTAAAATTAAAATTGTAGTCATGGTAACATAGGGATAGTAGAGAATTGTAGTGATAACATAGGGAATCAGGGATAGTAGAGGACACTCATCCCGGGGTGTGAGATGAAGGTTGGTCTACAACATTCAGAACTCAGCAAAGAGAAGACTGCTTCCCACCACAGAGGCACTGACAAGCAGGCTTGTTGTGCAGCATGAAGTGTATTCCTACTGTACGTTTCAACCAAACAAATTGTACCTAACTAACAATTTGGTGAAAAAACAAAACATTAAAACCTGCAAACATTGTAACTGATTATAATAAGATTCATTAGTCACCCCTTGCAGGCATTACTAGCCAACAAAATCTTCTTTTATACTCAAGAAATAACCAACAAACTATCAAGTTATAAACAACACAACAACTTTTAACTCATTTTATAAACATTCATTTTCTTGCAGGCAATATTATATCGTCAAGCAGAACCTCCACAGCCTTTACAATCTGAGGCACCCGGGGGACACCCACCTCCCTCTCACATTCCGCCTAACCATCCTGATATGAGAGGTCCCCCTGGCCCCCCTGATATGAGAGCCCCACCTGACATGAGAGCCCCACCTGACATGAGGGGTCCTCCTGACAGGAGACCACCCTCGGACATGAGAGGACCAGATATCAGGGGTCCACCCCAAGATAGAAGAGATGGGCGAGGTCCTCCAGATGACAGAGGACCACCTGATCGACGAGGACCACGAGATATAAGAGGCCCACCAGGTTTTGATAGACCACCAGACGCGGCTGAACCAAGACGTAACCCTGACTTTAGAGGACCACCTGACTTTAGAGGCCAAGGTATATTTATTCAAATTTCCATTGTGATCTTGTGTATATTTGTAACAGACCAAGCTCCATATATCTGGAGTAAGAACTTCAATCCAAAAAGTCAAGACAAAGATAGAGTTATTATTATTATTATTATTACACATATTATTAGCACTGATGAAGACCGGGCTTACGGATCGAAAGCTTTGCAGTAATATATTTACGTGGTGTTTCCACAAACAAAACTGTTATATGTTTTATCGCCATGCAATACAAAGAACTTAAAGATAGAGCTATTGGACGTCAGTCCCTTTTGTCTGTGCGACCTTGCAAGGAGTGTGCCAAAATTTCGTATTTTGACTTTATGAAAATTGGATGAAAATAGCAAACGTTTGTCTTGTATAGTATTGGAGACGAAACTGACATGTTTATTTCTTTAGATCGTGGAGGACCCGATTTCCGTGATCCGCGTGGATTTGATCGAGGCAGAGGTCCACCTGATGACCGTCGTGGTCCGCCGGAAGCACGCCCTGGTCCCCCAGAACGTCCTGGTCCTCCTGACCCACGTTCTGGTCCTCCTCGTGCTGGACCTCCAGACCCAAGAAATAGCCGTGGTCCTGACCGTGGTCCTGATCGTGGTCCTGACCGTGGTCCTGATCGTGGTCCTGACCGTGGTCCTGACCGTGGTCCTGACCCTGGTCCCCGACGTGATCGTCCTGGAGTCCCTCCTCCCCACATCCCTGGACCTGAAGAAAGATTTAGTGGACCCCCACCTCACTGGAACAAAGCTGGACCACCCCCTGCACCTCCCATCAGTGTCCCTGCACCGGTGGTCCCCACATCACAACCGAACCCTACCGCAGGTGACGTCACTTCTCAAGATCAAGAAAAGGTCAGTGTTAATCACCAGTCGATTTCGAAACTTCGCAAATTCGTTACAAAAGTTCATGGTTTGTCAAGAACGTTTTTGATTGGCAATTAGAAAAAGCAGCCAATCAAAGGTGTAGTTGATAAAACGATTTGTGAATTTTCTTATGAACTAAGACTACGCAAATGTTACATTCAACTTCGGGCGCTACCCACAATCAAAGCACTGGCACTTGCTCAGATATTATTTCCATTTTTTAATTTTTTTAATTTTCTAGGCCGCTCTGATCATGCAAGTGTTGAGTCTGACTGACCAGCAGATTGCCTTACTGCCTGATGATCAACGGCAAAGCATCATGGTACTAAAAGAACAGATAGCACGTAGCTCACAGTAAAGTAATAACGTTATCATTGTTATCACTGTATATGCGTGTAAACCCAAATTGTAGTTGTCCTTCCTAATAAATAGATCAAACTGTTTCCTCACATTGTCAGTCATAATGTACTTTCCTAATACATTTCCCCAACTTTTCTTTTGCATAAATTATGTACATCGCAGCTCAATTGTCAATGAAATGTATCTAATGAATCAGCGGTGTTACACTGCAGAGCATGCTCATTTTCTTCCCCAACATCGGGGGTCTCCGGAAGAGGCCGTAAGCTCATTCGTCTTCGGACTTTTTTGGTCACTTGAAAATCTTTCTTGTCTGCCTTGATAACCTGCGATGCTTGGTTGTTCTTTGCAGGACGGCGGAATACAGAGGCGAATTTCCTCTGGGTTTTCTGTTCTTTTTTATTCTTGATAAGATGGTGAATAGACCAAGACTGTCTTCGCATTGACGTGAGAGCGTCGTCTGTGGATATGACGGGAATAACGTGTGTGTCAGTTGAGTTGGTTTTTGCATCTCACTCAACAGTAGAGAATGGTTATTTTATGGGTAGAAATGTCGAGTGAAAACTATGTAAACCTGTAAGACCTAAGCAGGGGAAACTATACATAGAACCTCCAGCTGGAATCTACCACTGCAGCAGTCTTTCACTCAGCTACAGACCACCATATCAGGGTGATGACAGAGATATGTTCAATATTTTAACAGACAAAAACATTCTGGTACTTACCCTTTATGAAATGGAGATCACATTTGTTCTTAACAATGGGTTCATAAAGTTCAGTGTCTTCATTTATTTCATGTTTCGAGTCGTTGTCTTTGTGCAAGTTTAACCCTAGAAAAACAGAACCAATAGATTTGGAAAACGTTCCATCTAAACCTTAACTGAGCCCACTTTATACATTGCTAGGTTTTGAGTTCTTACAGGACAGCAGATGGTGGTCAATCATTCAGAGACACTTCAAACAGCATTTCTCATTTCTATTTACTGGTCAGCAAGTGAAAACTACTACATACTGTAATGAACAGATTACCCCCTTCCGGAAATACATCACGTTTGCATGATTCAGATGTTGGGCTTTAACTACAAATAGACAGATTTGGATCGAGGACGTCAAAATGGTGTGTTGTGCCCATGTATGGATATGCCACGTCATTTTGACGCCATTTTCACATCGTCTTTGACGTCCGCGTCCTCGATCTAAATCTGTCTAATGTCACATACACGTGAACGAGGCTTTATAGCCAAAGTGACGTACACTTTCCGCTAGGATGTATTATATTACTGAACATTACTGTTGCTTCGTAATGTATTTTACTGTTGCACAGTAATACTCAATAACACCCGCGAGTAACAACTTCAAATCAATTTTTTACATTCAAACTTGTTCTGTTCTTTTGGTTCCGTCTTAAAAAGCTTTGCCGTGGTCGTGGTGTCGTCACTGCTTTTGTCGATGATGTTTTTGCAAATATCGGGAACTGTTTCGACTGAGGTGTGATTGTTCTCCACTGTGTTACTGGTTAACAAGTCATCTAAAAACACTAGAGAGATAGACATCAGTTTTGTAGTTGTCTGTCAAGACACTTGAGTAGTAGAAAGTAACTGCTCGTTGCAAACTGTGGTACATAATAAATTTCTTTGCAAACCTTCGTTGTTTGTTGTTGAGCTTGGAACAGCTTGTGTGCTATCATTTCGTTGTCTCTGTAACGAGGTAGAGATCACTCCTTCCCAAGGACTTGTAAATGGAGTGTTTTCTTGATCACTGGATAATTCCCAGATTCCTTCACGGGTGTTGGATGGTTCTGAACACTTCGAGCAAGATTTGGGACTTTCTTCAAGAAGGCGCTCGACTGGAACATAACAAGATCCACAATAATATGCATTTTGTTTGTATGAATGATTGACGTTGAACTCCAGGCCAACTTTCTACCAAATAATTTGCTCGAAACGAAGTATCTTTTTCAAGTAGTTCAAATGCGTATAATATTATGTTTGTGGAAATACCACGTAAATTTAAAGGGGCTTTAAAAAGTAGGTGAAAAATCTAAAATATGTAAATTGACTTCACGCACCTTTCCTATTTAGACTTTGGTTGTGTGTTCGGGCTTGTCCGGTTGTCTTCGGTGTTGTTTCGGAGTCATTTCGTCTGTTGCGATCGTGATACGAGTAATGACTGAAGTCCGGAGGTGGCTCATGATAACGTTCAATTGCTGTAGAAAATGTTCATCACTTAGTAACTACGTTGCTTCTACTAATAATTTTATCTATGTTGGATGATGCCGTTCTAACAGTTCTAGACTGTTCTTACTACAGAATGAAACCCAAACAAAACTTTCTTATATGAAGTAGCTGTATCAGTTCTATACTGTTCTTCCTATAAAGCTCCAGTAAGAAGCATCTTTTGTTGGTCCAGCTTTACCCCAGGAGAACACTTGTGGTATTTGGTGTGAAACTGAACCCACCCTTCTCAACTGTTTGTTTCTATTCAAATCAACAAACCACTTACAGTGTTTGTGATTTTCTTCGCTAGCCTCTCCTGGTTCATCTTCTGAATAATCTGACTTCCATCCTGCTTCATCATTGGCTAAAAGCTTCTCATTCCCAATCTCCCGCTCTGCTATTACATCTGGTATATCATTAAAACTAACTCTCTTGGGCAAAATATCTTGAAGAACCTCCGATGCAAACCATGGACAATTTCTAAGATTTTCAAATTTCTTAGAATGTCCTTGTTCGTTCATGGGTTTCGTAGAAAGGGTTGGGGTATTTGGGTTATGAGATACAGGATTTTCGAAGAACATTTCAATTTCTTTAGGATCGATACTTGTCTGAGCGAAATTATTTTGATTTGGTGTGACAGATGTATTGTTGTTGATTTGCCCGTTTGGTTCATTGGGTGAGCTATTCTGAGCAAGTTTAAACTGGTCACGCAAACTTTCCATGTTAAGTAAAGTTGCGAACATGCTCGGCAGACGTTCTCTCGTGATGGACGTATTTTCAGATGTTTTTTTGCGATCAGCTGTGAAAACAAAAAGTAAATCTTTACGCCCTCAAAACAACTTGTTGAGTACATAAACGTTTTTAAAATAACTAAACTAACCTTTCGAAACTGTTTCCATTTCTTGCCTCTCCATGATAACAAGTCGTTCTCCCAATTTTTGATTCCTGATTCGGTCTTTTTCAACTTTCGCGCGCACTTTTGCTAAATGTTGATCAAACATGTTGTCCTGTCCTTGCCGCGCCATCATTAAACGATGCAGCCTGTTCTCAGCTTGTATTTGCTGCGACAATATTTTTGTGTAAAGGTTTCGGTACAAAACTGCATCGCTTTTTTCGTCCGCAATTTTGTCCATTTTATATAGAACGACGCAAGCCTAGATTGCTAACCTGCCCATTGTGACGTCATTAATTACAATTCACTCTGCGCAATTCGCTCTGCGCTAAACCACAGATTAGATATTAGTGTATTTTCAATCTGTGACATGGCTTCTCGAAAAAAATTTCAAGGCTATATAATCTAATTTAGAGCTTACAAAATAGTTATTGTTCTGGACAATAGCCTATTGTTCATAGATTACAATTGACTTATTGTTCTTAAACAAGCTTCATTGTTCATTTTCCAGGTGAACCTGCATATTTTACATTGTTTCCATGCCTATAATGGTCAATAATACTAATATAAAGATAATCGATTCCTTTTAAAAACAATCAATATAATCCAGCACAGATCAAGTTTTTTTTTAAAGATCGTCAAGTTTACATTAATGTCAGATTAAGATTAGATTTATAGGGTCAGAGGTTAGATTCGGGGATATTGGTTTCCCCAGATAGATGATTATTACCAATTTGTGCACTTTTGTCAAATGATACTATTGATTTATTTATCCCTGAGACTGATCATATTATCTGCTATATCTGCGGATCATATGTATGATTTAGTGCCTGCGGAAGGACAGCGGTTGATGCACAAAAAACAATATGGCGGACGCGAAACGTGAAAATTGAGTGCTCTTTGAGATTTTTTTATTTTTCCAAGTTTAAACCAAAGATATTGGCAGATACACAATGACAATATTTGGACAGGTTGTTATCGGACCTCCTGGAAGTGGAAAGAGTACATACTGCAAAGCAATGAGAGAATTTTTGACAGCTTTAGGACGCAAAGTTGCCGTAGTGAATTTGGATCCAGGGAATGATATCCTGCCGTACGAATGTGAAGTGGATATATCTACACTTGTGACTTTGATAGATGTTATGGAAAACTTGAAGTTAGGTCCTAATGGCGGACTTATTTATTGTATGGAATATCTGGAAACAAACTGTGATTGGTTGATTGGGAAATTGGAGAATTTTAAAGATTGTTATATATTGTTTGATTGTCCTGGTCAGGTTGAACTTTACACACATCATAAGTCTGTCAGAAATATTGTACATAAACTGCAAGAGAAGGATTTCAGGGTAATCACCTTGTTTGTTTTCTTGTCCACTTGCATCTAGTATATGTCAGATTATATACGGATATACCAAGCCAAGTACTTTTGTCTGCAGGATTTAACAGGTTTAATGTTTGTGTAAAAATGATGTAATTAAAATCTGTCAATTGATCCTCTGATACAAAACAAGTAACATTGGAATTCCTATATGAAATCCTATTAAATTTTGGTCCAAGTTTGGTTAAATTTTTATATAGGAAATTTATTCATTTGGATTTTGGCACATTCCTGTAGGAATTCCCATTGGGTCAGATAGGATTTTTCTGTAAGGCAGGAAGAAAATTTAAAGCCGGTTTTCCACTTCAAGTGTACCGTACTGAAACGTATCAAAAACGTTTTAAATTTCAAAATTTTGTGAATGTTGATCGGTTACTACTTCTGTAGTACGCCAAAAAGTTGACTTGTGATGAAATTTTTATTTGGATATGCGAACACACCCGGAAGTATGTGGATTTATACATGTATACCTCTTTTCAATCTATGCATGCTCACCAGTACGTTTCGGTATGATACAGGTGTAGTGGAAAACCGGCTTAAGCATTACATAAACAAACATTTTTATCATGGTTGTCAATATTAACAATGAACTATTTGTTGCTGTAGTTTGCTGCTGTGCATTTAGTTGATTCACATTACTGCCGTGATCCGTCAAAATTCATCTCTGTGCTCTTGACGTCTCTGTCAACCATGGTCCAGATTGAGCTGCCTCATGTCAATGTTTTATCAAAGATTGATATCATTGAACAGTTTGGCAAGTTAGGTATTCATACTATCATTATTTTATTTTCAGTGTTTTATAGATGTATTTAAAGATGTTAGATGCGAAACCAGGATTCATGTTAAGAGTTTCAAACGTTCACTGGTTAAAAATATTTATTTGGATGAGCTTTCGACTGCCAGGTAAATTAATGATGGGTAAATTAATCTACCTGTTGAAGACTGCATACTGGCAGTTGAAAGCTTGTCCAAATAAATATTTCTAGTTTGAAACTCTTAATTGTTTATAGATATGTTTGTTTGGGTTTTCATCATTCCAATGATATTTATCCTCGTCAAAGCCCACCTGTGCATGATCAAACAATGCTTAACTCAGTAGCAGCCCACATTCAAGAACAATTGTAGCCTCAGCATGATTTATAACCATGCTTAACTCAGCAGCAGCCCACATTCAAGAACACATACTACCTCAGCATGATCTAGCCATGCTTAACTTGGCAGTGAGTTCTGACAACATCAGATTACTTTAGAGCAGTTCAGATTTGAATGGGAACAACATTTCTCTACTCGTTTTCTTCCATACTTTGATTTAGACTTCAATCTGGACTACTACACTGAAGTTTTGGATCTGAAATTTATCCTTGATGAACTGCAGGATGATCCAGTAACAAGAAAATTCAAGAAATTAAATAAAGCATTGATTAGTGTGATTGAAGATTATAGCTTGGTCTCGTTTTCGCCTCTCAATGTTCAGGTATGAATCACTTCTAATGAGAAAAGATTATTTGTCTGATGACTTTTAGCTGTATAGACACGGCAAACAAACACATCCTTCATCAAGACGAACTATCTGTGAAATTCGTCTGGACAAATCAACTTGCGTGACAGTGTAGTTCGTCCTGAGGTAAATACGGCAGTTCCGCAGTAGACAAACTATCAGGAAAATGTCAGACTTGATTTGTTCGTTGAGTTATTGCTAGAATTATCGTGTTATTGTAGAGAGTTTCCTGGATAGTTCGTTTTGTGTTTGGTCCAAAGGCAGTCGTGATGGATAATTCGTAATAAGGAAATGAATTTTATCATGGGATGTATTTCCAATTCTTACGTAGATATAACTACTTCAATCTACAGTTTTAATTTTAGTTATTTCAACTTTATTTTTAATGATATTTTGTTGATGAAGGATAAGGAAAGTATGTTAACGTTGGTGAAGAAAATTGACAGCGCCAATGGATATGTGTTTGGCGGCAAACACGAGGAAGGAAATCTCAGTGAAATGTTATCTTATGCTGCTGGGGCAGACTTTGAATATTTTAAGTATCCTTTTAGAACGTTGTATAGTTTTGCTTATCTCAACGGTTGCCACAACACTCTACAGCCTGTTTCATCCACTGGTATTGAGGAGAGATATCCGCAACAGCCTTTGCATATCGTCACAAATATGTTCCTGAGTGGCATGGGATTTTCAAAACAATGAAAAGTGCAACATGAAGTGAATATCACGTGCTGTACATAGAAAGGGCGTGGTAGTTGTATCTGTTTTGATATTCTTAACTCCACTGAAGATCGGCAAGTGTCCAGGAAAAATACGTTGATACTACAAAAACTGGACCAACAACATAAGGTGGCCACTGTTGTAGTATTTTGAACGGAGTGGACAATAACGTTCAAAACACATAAACGCGAGACTTTGCAAGACAAATAAAGCAATTTAGAATATCGATTACATCCTTCTGACTTCACTGGAAAGACTTTCAAAAACATTCTTATTATAGTACATCAAAAATCAAATCATTTTACTTTTCTCTAATATTCCACAATAAACTGTTGAGAGTTGTGTTTGAACTATCTGAAAAATAAAACGTTTTGAGCGAGGTGAAAGCCTTGGTTATTAATAAGTTCATTCGAAGAGCTCTTCGATCTCGAAACATTGGCGTCTTAGTTAGGAGCAAACCACGACAGTTTTTGATTGATTCAACTCGTCTGCTGGTGGCGAAATGGTAGGAAGTTTGGTCTATCCCGGCAAACTTTTGAGTTCAAATCCCGTTTTATTCTTTTTATACCTCTCTGTCAGAAATCGCTTTGCAAGTAGCCAAAAATGTTTGCTTTGCCCAAAAATAAGGTTTCCGTTTCTATAACGTAGAAAAGACCATCCTAACGCAAAACTAAACCCTAACCCTAATACTAACCTTAACTCCAACCCTAACCTAACCCTAACTTATTTAAAAAATTGATATAAAAACGGAAACCTTATTTTGAAATATACTATTTAGCAATTTCCGCTTTTTATTAGCCTAGACTGCGTAATCAAGCCGGGCATATTGAACGTTCACTAAATGAAGTATGTATAGTCTGAAACGCGCCTACGATCATTCGGCAAACACACGTGGGGAAACAAAACAAAGCTATTATTTTCAAAAGTTATTTTGTAAAAGTTTGTTATTTTTTCATCTTTGGCAGTTATAATGCCAGCATGATAGTGGAGCAGTAATGTCTAGGAGGGTAGTTCTACCACCACTGCCAAAAGTCTCGGATTTATTGAGGATTTATGGCGTGCGGGCAAAGAAACAACTCAGCCAGAATTTCATACTTGATCAAAATATCACTGGTATGTATATCATTATTTATGCTTGTTTGGTGTATGTAAATCCAGTTTGTACTTTTAATATTTTCAACCTTGCTATATGTCATCATTGTCATCTGTTCAGTCAGCGTCATTACTATAATTACTGTATGTATTGATGTGTAAATGATCAATCTACTTTCCTACTATTAACTTTCCTACTATTTGCTGTTGTCACTTGCTGTATTTTAATTGTTGTGTATGACAGTTCTGGTTACTGAATTGTGGGAAATTATGGTGACAAAATCACTGCAACTTTTTTATGTCTCAATTAAAATACAGTGATTTATATATGCATGCATCTTTCTATTATAGCTTTTGATACATTTATTGCAACCCTGTCCCCACTTCACTCTCCCCATCCTACTCTCCCCACCCTACTCTTCCTACCCCTCTCCCTGCCAAATGAGCCTCGATCCACCCCTACAGGAATTCCAAATCTTTGATTGCAGATAAAATTGCTGGAGAGGCAGATGTATTTGATTGTTTTGTTTGTGAAGTTGGCTCTGGTCCCGGATCTTTGACACGTTCAGTTTTACACGCAGGAGCAAGGCATGTTGCAGCTGTCGAGATTGACCGCAGATTTGTCCCTGCACTTGAGGTATTATGAGTACATTTGTAGATGGGTTTTATAATAATTAACAGATTGTGGTCAAAGTTTAACCCAGCTGTGGTTATATCTTTATGAGATATAAAACACCACCAACATTACAACAACAGGAAATAAGTAATTTGATTTCATGTTACCACAACTATGTATTTAGATGTTAGCTGACTGTTCAGAGGGCAAAATGAAAGTTTATAATGAAGATATCATGAAGTTTAACATTCCAGCAGCTTTTCCAAATGTTGAAGGGGTGGCGTGGAAAAAGGATTGTAAGTTTTGGTTTTCAATTATTTTCTTGTTCATTTTAACTAACCTTACTTATTATTCTGGAAAAACTCTATCAGTTTTAAACTGTTCTTCCTGGAGGCTCATGCACTAAGTGCAACTCCGCTATGGGTCCAGTTTTAGTAACAAACTTGTATTGTTTAATACACCCTTCCAGAAAGTACATTATTTTGGCTATAGAGCCTCGTTTTCATGTATGTGACATATGTAAAGCCCAACATCTCAACCAAACGGGGCTCAATAGCCAAGGTGACATACACTCCGGAAGCATGTACAGTATTGGCAGAGTCAAACAAATTAAAGATTGCTTTTTACTGGAAAAAATATTTATTTTGGTATTCTATATCTTTTCTTCAAAAGATTTGCCAAGTATTCGTTTGGTAGGAAATTTGCCATTCAACGTGTCAATCCCGCTGCTTCTACAGTGGTTGCAAGCAATCTCGCATCGGACAGGCCCTTTTACCTTTGGTCGTGTGCCAATGTCACTTGTGTTTCAAAAAGAAGTTGCGGATGTAAGTTGGTGATACAGGCTACACTATACCAGATAGCTTTCCATAGCGGCGCAAAAAAGCATCTGTCCAATACGGAATGTACAACTTGCAGAAGCTGAGCAAAACAACATTTCTCTGTTGCAATAATTCCTCTGATAATAGCATTCCTAAAAGGTACGGATAGGTGTTTTTTCATGTCGCTACAGAAAGCTATGTGGTACAGTGGAAACCTGGCCACAAACAAGTTTACAATTCCAGTTTACAATCCCAGTTTAACCCAGTTTAGATGAGAACTGAGCTGGATGTAAGTCATATGGTGTTGTCTCTAGTCAATAGAGAGACAGCGAAGTACGAAGACGTACTTGATAATTTTTGCCCGTCTGCACATTGTCTTTGGTGTCACTGGTGCTTGCGTGTCTTCCTGTTATGGATTCATATACTGTATCGCTGTTTACGAATACTGAGCTGGCCCCAACCTGACAAAACAGCGAGACATGAAACTGTATCCCCGTCTTTGTTTTTTTTGCCTAATTCAGAATAAAGTTCACGACGAATCTTGTCAAAATATTTGACGCGCAGTTGAGACTGTGAATTGCTTATTTGCTTGGATCTTTTAGAATATCGTTGCTGAACCAGGACATCCCAATTGTTCACGCTTGTCTGTCATGACGCATCATCTCTGTGAAGTGAAGAGGACGTATCGCTTGCCTAGGACGGTGTTTGTCCCAGAACCCAAGGTAATGAACCATTTTGATTAGTTATTACAAAGAACAAATCCATTTCTTCTTTCCATAGTCAATTCACTCAGTTTCCCCTTCTTGTTTCCAAGGTAGATGCAGCACTGTTGCACATAATACCATTACAAAAGCCAAAGATCGACGCGCCGTTTGATGTTGTCGAACAAGTTGTCAAAGCTTTATTTTCCATGAGAAGAAAGTTCATTCGTTCTTCATTAAAGTAAGATGGTTTGAGACTACACTATGATGCGCTAGTTATTTCCAATGGCATGCAATGATCTAACAGCATTTTTGGACAGTCGAACAGCCAGCGTAGGTAGTCAGACTACACTACAAAGCTCCAAAAATCGAGAGACCTTCAACTACAGTAACTTCCCGATAAAGCACCTTCGCTCGAAACGTCCACGTTTTGCTTGTATTTTTCAGGTAGTTGAACCCAATTAACTCTGATAAGATTCAATTAGTCTTATTAGAGTCCACTGGTTGAATCCCTCCCTGTAGTCCGTAGCTCTGCTAAACATTTTATAACTATATTTTTTAGATGTCTATTCCCGACTGAAGAACATTTGGTCGATAGTTTATTGTCCTCGGCAGAGGTTGATCCAACCCTGAGAGCAACTCAAGTTGATATGGCGGGCGTGCGGAGACTATGCGAGGTATTCCTGGAAATGACAGAAAATATGAACTTAGATCGTCTGCCTTTGAAAGTCAACAGACCATCGCCTGTACCATCAA